TCCACGCTGAAAAAAAAGACTTTATTAATATTTATAATTTGTATTTGATTAACAAAAGGATCGTATAAAGGTCCAAATGTTGGGTACATTATAATCTATCTAAAATGTTTGATTTTCACCCCGGACGAAAATAACAAAACATTGGCACAATAATACTATATTGTAACTCATTGTTCTATTCAATAGCCGTTTATCATTAATAACTTAACAATTATTATAATAATAATGGTAAATATGTAAATATTCACTTATAATAGTTTAAACAAGTGTGACATTAGAATCTAATCCGACCGGAAAATAATAAATATACAAAGGATTATAAGATTAAAGCATACTTATTTTAGTATGAGTAAACCTACGTAGTTTTAGAATGGTCAACTAGAATTTTGGTTTGATACACTCCTAAAATGATTAATTCTATTATAACATTTAAAATGACTATTATGTTTTCTACGAGTATAAAAATTGCATTTTATTTTAATATTTCAAGAAGGCAACTACATTTTTGTATACACAAAACACGCATAAAATACATTAAATAAAAATTATATTATTTACTCTCAGAAGAAAAGCTTTAGTTTGAATCTCTTTCACTAGACGTATCTCATTTTCAGTAGTTCTACAATCACATGGATTTGTGGATTACATAATGTATTAAATGTTTCAATACATAATTCATAAAATTACTAATGCAATAATTTTGAACGATATTCAATTTGTTGTTTTGTGAATAATAGATTTTCATCGTGAAATTGAAGAATATTTAATAATCGTTTTTTAACAAAATCAGCGAATTTTTAAAAAAAAATTAATAATTTCTAATTCAAAATCGGCCGTACGTTACGAATATAATAATAATAATAATAATAATAATAATAATACTCCATGGTAACTATTTATATATTTATTTACTTATTTCTATGCATGGGCTATTTGTCTACGTGTCAAATAATTGTTCTAAATTCATTTTTAACAGTTTTGTTAACCTATAATCGATTACTGCTGGTGGAATATTGTTGTCAACGAATTAAAGAAAAATTTACATTGATATTCATGAGGATTACATACTATATCATCAATATCTAATAAATTATGTTATGTTACTTTCGAACGAAAATAATTTATGCATTTTATGAAACAACAAAAATATGCCATAGAATAATATTATTATTGTTGTTCATTAATCACGATTTTAGAGTGACCTTAACTGTCAAGTGTAGCAAGAAATAATAACGTCACCCTATGTAAAATCAATGGCAACATTATTCAAATAATACATTATAATATATAATTCAAACTAAATAAACTAATTAATAAACTTCAAAAGAATAGTTCAAAAAAAATTGTTCAAACCTGAGAGAATTGTGGGAACATGTTCAATGAAATGGATTTCTACTTTACTCTATCTATGTTTGGATTACCATCTTCAAAAGTATAATAATTACACTTACATATTCCGTTCGTAAATAATAATAATTTATTCAAAGTTTAAGTTTATCACGAGAGCTTAATATAGTTAATATTAGTATAGGATTAGTGGTGATTTTAAAGATTCCGTTTTTTCCGTGTATATTTTCATATAATTAACTTTTAAATGGCTCGTAACTTCAACATTTCAAAAAATGAAATATTTTGCTTTTAATGGAATTTTTAATTGATTTCAAAAGAAGAATCAAAATTACATGGTCCCTAGGCATAAATGAATTATAAAAATGAAAACGGAATTTAAATATCTTTATTAACACTGGAGTTATTACAATTTAGTAAATCCTCGCGGGACTTTCCGTCCGTATACATAGATGTACGGCATAGATCAATATAAAGACTCGACCACTGAAAATACACTACTTCGTTTCTCAAACGCATCGTTTGAACTTAAACATCTTTGAGTTCTTCAAGACATTATTAATAATTATGACCAAATATAAATTCAAAACAACTCGACGTCGTAATACATACATTTTCAATTTTTATAATATGAACGGGCTTACTTTTTAATGGATTTTTTCAAACTTTTTCTCTCGTTTTAAAACAAATCATCATGTTTTTCATACTTAGAAAATTATATTACTAGCGGTTTTGTTCGTAAAAAGTTAAAGTAGAATGTATATTCACTTTGATTTTCTCGTCAATATCTGTTAAAACATATACTTTAAAATGGCAATCAATACTTTTCGTTTAAAGACGAGTATATATTGATCGATAAAACATATACAATTCTTCTATTGAGAAAGATAATCCATGGGTCCAGTGATGTCACTTAAGTATTTTAATAGCAAATCAAAATTTGAGAAAACCAATTATTTCTATCGCCTGTACGTTAGTATAGATACCGAACGGAGCGTAAAAGGTTTGGTTTTACAATGGTGATTTTTTTTTTTTTCCTTTTGCCGTTAATACATTTTACCGTTGATCAGGAAACGTGTAACCGAAATGTACATATAGCACCTCCTCACGAGATAGAAAATCGGACCCATATATCGATACTCATTTTATTTACTCCTTATATTTTAGAAATAAATAACCGGGGCTAGGATTTGTTTGCAACAGCATGTTTTTTTTTTCTACGTCCAAATGGAGTTTTAGTAAGTAAGGTCCACAATTTATATTATTCTGATGAAAATTGTACTATTTTTATTTTGTATGTTTAAACATATATTGAGCTTTATGCATAATTTTGCATATTTAGTATGCATTGTATTTATTGTATTTGAACCGGTAATAATTAAACTGATCAAAGTATTTAACGTGGTCTTTTTGTCATACAATCCATCAGCGCAATATGGGATAAAATATTGAATAGTTTGACGGAGAAAAACATAATTAAAATACAATTAAACACAATTGATAAAAGCATATAGGTATCAATATCAAATCCATGATTAGATATAACTCGTCAAATATTAATTTATTACATACAATCCAAAAGGATTTAAAACTCTCTAATCAATGAATCATGTATTGATGACGAATCGAACGAGATCAATGTCAGTTATAATTTAACACCGATACACATTCCTTTATTTAAATATGCACCAACTATATCATGTGAAGTAGAATGAAGCTTTAGCCATTATAAATCAATACTGCGCTGCAATCGCCGATCATTTATATTTGTATTTAAGAAAATATGTGGTCGTGGCATATAATACACGCATTTTCACTATTGAATGTGAATTATTCATTTTATTTATAAAATAATAATTAATAAATAATTTTTAATATCAAATATATTATATTTTTACAATCAGCCAATCACTGATGTATTTCAATAAATAATTTTTAATCACACCTGTGCAAAACGGACGGTCCTAAGCCTAAATGAAAAGGGAAATGTGCTGTTGTGCTCAAACGAATATTAAAAAGGTACATGTGCGCAAATGGGTTGTATCTTTATTCTTCGAACCTAAGATTTTTTTGCTTAAACGAGTCATCCCTGTTCGCCAAAGGGGATGTACCGCGGGATCATCATGAACGCGCACGTACGAATGTCATTAGGAGGCATGGATTTTTATGCAATGAAAAAGTTGAAATACGTAAATATTTATGTCATTATTTTTACCAGAACACGAATAAAAATAAAAAATAAAATGTGACTTATTTAATGAAAAAATCGGTATTTCATTTTTATTTTTAATTTCTAATTAATAATTATTCGTCTAATCGTCTTCACTGTTGACTACTTCGAAACAATTGGACGCAACGTACATTTGGAGTTTTCAAATTTTAATGTAAATACGACGGTTAGGTTTCAAAGTCAACTCGTAACGGCTGAATGTACATTCAACGTCGACCGAGGTTAACGGGACATATTTCATACCACATATGGTGTTACTTAGGTATCATTTGACGTATTTTCATTTTTATTCGTAAAAATAACTCTAATAGTTTTTTTGTAAATCAACGTCATTACTGAGTACGTAGTTTAATTTATTTTTTATTATAACACCGGTTTCTCCTTAAAATTCATTTCATTTGATTTCTGCTTTTTCCACTACCGCGAGACATTCAGTAATTGTTTAATGTTTCTAATTTTTTTTAATACCAAGAAACAAACTATTCATGGAAATATATTTAAAATAATTTTTTACGTTATTATTTTATACAACATCAGAAGCTTGTAGAATATTGCAAAATCTGAATCAAGATTTGAAATAACTTGTTTAATTTTAATATTATAATTTTAACAGAAATAAAAATTGTATAGGTATGAAAATGTGAAATATTTACAAAAAAAAAAAAAAAGAAAATATATATTATATGACAAATAATTTGTATATTATCCAGGATGAAACGTGCTAATTTTTAATCGGAATTGAGAAATTCACATTAAATAAAATTATGTATTTACACACAATTTCGTGCCCTTATTATTTATATTTTTTTCTGCTTGTTTTTATTACATTGTACCGTTAAAATTTAGTCCAACATTTTGGGTAATTATTACAAATCAAATGTTCGATGTGACTATTGATTAGGAAGTATACGCGACTTGTTTATGTCATCCTTGCGATGAATATACATAACTAATAATACACACAATTATATATACGTGCTTTACTATAAAACCAAAATAGCTGTGCAAAAACAAATTGTCAATAAAACAAATGAATATGCGCTAATAAAATGGTCGGTCGAAATTAGGTGACCTAATTTGATAGCGTTGGATTACACTACTGAAAAAGCGAATTATTGTTTTTTACGTTAAAATTAAAAGAAATTGGCATATTGAGAAATTTCCAGTGGTTTCTAACCAGGTCAATACAAGAATGATGGGTTTACAAATAGTTCGTAGGAACTGATTTGGTAGTGTTCGGGAAAAACGCCAAGTGAAGGCGCTAAATGAAAATAATTTGTAATATTTTTTAATTTATAATTTATAATCGCTTATTTTATTATTAAGTAATTTAACATTTTTCAAATTTTACGCAAAATAATATAAAAGTTATCTTATTGAATTTTGAAATTCTCCAAACTTTAGAATTTGCATGCTTTTCCAGAGCACGGTCCAATTGTGAACGGGTGGGCATTGCAATTTTCCTCCAGTGTCCTTCGTTCGTTATCATAATCAATTATCACATCAATTGTGAAATCATTTGTTGTATTTTTTTTTTTTTTACTATTTAATATTCATAATATATAATAATAATAATAATAATAATAATAATAAAAATAATGATGTTAATTTTAAACTTATTAACTTTATTTCAACTTTCATACCACTAATAGATACTTCTAATAATAATTGATATAGAGACTATCGTAGTTATAACGTGTGTGGAAAATATATCGGCAGTGTAAAAATTACTGATAGTAAGTGAAATTATAATATTGATCGTGACATGTAATGTTATGAACATCGATTTGTTTGATTGTTCTAATTATTTGTTATGAAGACCCATTTTAGATTATTCGCACATAAGAACCGCGCATATAACATGTTATCGTACGTGTATGTTCAATTTTTGTCGAATGTTTGCACGTGATTTAAAATCACGATATAGGTTCAGGAATTCTCAAAAATATTAGAAACAAATTTTATTTTAATTTGGAGGAAAACTATCATATTGATAACGGTTGAGGGTCACTTTGGCAGAAAAGGGGAACTCCCGAACGGGTATTCGCTCCGATTAAAAATTACAAATTACAATTACAAAATACAAACTTAGAGGCAGTAGTAGAACATTTAAAGGAACACATTTCGAATGCGCTTAATATATTTTTACACTCTTAATCTAATGTGTATTAAAGCGAAAACACATTTTTCTAAAAAAAAAAAAAAAAAAATAGTTGATTTAAAATCAATTTTTTTAATTTTTACACATCTCTCGACTTCATAAACTGAGAAAAAAATTAAATAAAAAAACGTTACAGCTTTTTGTTCTCCTCGTCCTAATTTGGAACTCAAATGGTCTAACTAACCGTAAATACGAGTTATTAGCCATTAAACAAAATAACAGAATAGATATTGCACTAATTTCTGAAACTCATTTCACTTATTCATTATGGATCAACTTACCGGGTTCCGATAGATTTTGAAACTAATCATCCAGATGGCATAGCTCACACAGCGGCTGTCGTTATAATAAGAGCCTCATTAATATTTTATTCCTTACAGCCGTATCGAACAAATCATTTGCAAGCTTTTGGAATATCGTTGGTACTTAAAAGTATCCAGAGATAGGCAAGATACATTAGTATAAGTATTTAAACACTTGGTACTCGATACATTGACTATCGGTATCTAGATACAAGTTACTTAATACCTACTTACATTTTAAGTATTTAAATATTAGATGATGCTCAATACACAATACTCGATACAAGAAATTTAATTTCAAACAGTAATTGTATCCATTCCACCATATTATGTCTATATTAGATATAATATAGGTTAGTCTATATTAGATTCTAATAGAAATTAATGTTTTAGATAATAATCATTGGTTGTATGAACAGATAATAATATTAATACAATTAATAATATTTTTTATTATTTATATTATTATTATATTGTACAATAATATTATTTAATTACAACAACAGTAGGTATAAATATTATAAGTAACATAATAATTAGGATTGAGCTTGTTGCACAAAAAAAAATATAAATATTTAAGGATACAATTACTAAAAATATACTAAGTATTAATAGGATGGAAAAATTATTTTATTTTTATTTCAGATATATAAGAACATAGACTCGTAATAATTTCACTAACGAAAAGATGGGCATGAGTACAACAATAATTTCGACTTAACGTGCAATGCAGAAATGGCTTATTCGGGTTTTCAGCATTTACAAAATTGATATTAATCGCGATTGCTGTGCCGAGTGCCGACCATCGGTATCTTTATGCTATTAAGCTTTATCTTTCAACCATCCGGATCGCTCGGATAATAAATTGCTGAAATAAAATTATAAATAATTTACTTACAGCAGAACAACATATAAAATTCAGAGGCACACCATCAATATAAAACAATATAGATAAGTAAAAAACGTAAAGGTACCTGTTGTATAAATATTGATTTTTAAAATAGTATAAAACGAATGGTACTTACATATTTTTATTAGAAATATTATTTTCCCAATAATAAATGTTAATAATATTTATAAATAAAAAAATATTACACATTTATTTTTTCTTTTTAAGCGTATTTTTAATTTATTGAGTTACTTTTATTTTTTGATAATATCTGAATGAAATATTTGTTTAATATTGTTAGAAGTATCGAAACACAATATGCTTAATATTGTCCAATGCTGTATCATGATACTAGACACAAAATACTGTTGTACCTAAGATACGTATATCAGTTACTTCTATCGAAGATACTGTCCAACCCTGTCAGTATCCCCATAAACTTTTATGCAATATATAGCCCATCACGCCACTCCATCTCCATAACACAGTGTGCACAGTTCTTCAATACTCTTGATCATAAATTTATGATCGAAGGCGACATAAATGCTTAAAATACACAATGGGACCGTAGAACAAGTATGTCCCATGAGAATATTATAAAAAACACTAATCCACTTTCGCAACTATAAAATTCACGCACCGCCGTCACTAATACGCTGGCCCACTTCTCATAGAAAAAAAACCGTTCTTAACATGTTCATTACCAAAATACACAACATAACAACCAATTTAGACGATTTTTGCTCTGACCACTCAGCTGTTCTCCTAAAAATCGATTCTATTCTCTCAAATAGACCACAAAAAACGTCTCTGACCCAAGGTCTAATAGACTGGAAAACTTTCAGATCTTCTCTAGAAAACAAAATAAATCTTAATACAAGCCTAAATTCCCCTAACGATATTGATAAAGCCATTCATTTCCTAATAAAACCCATACAGGAAAAACCCTGATCTTACCCTATTCTCCCTAACAACAGTACCGAAAATATCTCTCATTATATCAGATTGATAATATCAGAAAAACAAAAATTAATATTGCAGAGAACAAGATACCCTTAGGACAAAAAAAAAATTCATTAACCTTACTATTAACCATAAAATATCTCTTTTCTAGATTAGAAGAGAAAACTTCACAAAACAACTTGCTGAGTCCTGTCTTTTAGTGACAACTCATCAAATGGAAAAAAATTCGTAGTAGTCAGCCCTCCTTTTCTCTTAAAAAGAGCTGACGAAACCTGGGCCATGAATGACTTAGACGGATCAAATATATTTCGTCACCACCTGGATTCTACATTCGAACTACAAGCCGATATTCTCTCTTCTAGCCCAATCAGAAAAGTAAAAAATGTTTTATATTTTCTATTATAAATGAGTATTCCCCTTAAATATTTATTACTAAGTGAAGTGATATATAAAATACAAAAAAACTGTACGGCATAAAATTCCTATATTTTCATTTAATTATAGTTGAACTAGCATCTCAATTTCCCCAAAAAAATTATACGTTTTTTAATTCATATTTACAATGCAATTATAGGATTAACACATTTCTTTGCTCTATGGAAATTTCCAATAATAGCGATGAAATCAAAACCAATTAATTTTCCTATACATATACTCAAACTTATCCAACCACCGCGATCCTCTCGTTTCAAACGTATACATTCTCAATACCTTAGGAGATCCCAGAATCCCAAAAGACGTGTGAAACCCAAATGGTGCCGGGACCTTTTAAACGATTAAAAATTGTCCACTGTCCTGAAGTTTTATCACTGGTTGGATAATCCAATCAAGACTGCAATTGAACCACTGATCTCACATCAATTATGCTCATTGCAAAATTACTTATATGCAGATTGTATAAATAAATTTATAAATTCCAAAAAAAAAAATAATCTATTCGTTAATATGAGTCACAAACTATATACTTGACAACACAATTTATTTATTCGTCCGTTAATAATACGTGTACATTTTCGTTTATTTTTGGGCGTTGTAGAAAAAATAACCATTTCATGTTAGGAAGCGCCACGTCGAGAAAAGAATTTGAAAAAATAATATATGATGACATGTACGGCCACGTTGCGCAGTAGGTGGCGTTAGGATACGTTTTCCTCATTTTCAATAAAATTCAGACTTGAAAATATTACCACAAATTTCTACATTATATAAATGTAATTATAGGACTTCTATCTAACCTTAACGATTTTTTGACTGAAAATAGAATTTAAATTATTCCATTTGCATCTGCACATAATAATAATATAATCGAATATACTTTATGATAAGTCACGATATTTTTTATTTATTTTTTTTTTTATTTACTGTAACATATTAAGATATATTATTTCTATCATTAATTTAATGTAATTTGAAAACGATTGCACCGTATATTGAATCACATAATAGGCCTCGTACGATTCGCTTCCATATTTTAATGCGTTCTTATAGTTTCATAACGTATAATATACCTAAAATAAACATGGTCGTGCGTGTTTATCCACAAATAATAAAAATGCGGTTAAAAGAACAATATATTATTACAGTTCCTTTATGCAAGCCTGAAACTACTTTTTTTCCGAACAATATCAAGTACGGCGTTATCTCCACCCGTCGTTCGGACCATCATTGTTCAACGCTGAGGTCAGCTTACAATATTTATATTTTAAATAATAAACGTCATCGTGTTGCTCGTTCCATAATTGTATATTTTACGAGACTGATGAGCCCTCGGAGCGGCAGCAATAGGGCTATAAATATTAACCAGGAAACTTTAGCGTGTCTAGTGGCAGAAATAGTTTAGCCAGCTGTATCGCAGGTATTCCGCATTAAGCGGACATCCGTTAACGAATACCGAACAGTCACGTAACAGTATCTGGTGACAACAGAGATGCATTTCGTTTTTGTTCTTTTTGGTTCAATGTTCATTTGGTTAAAACAACAAAACGAAAAATATTAAATTAGAATTGCACATTACTCGAAATAAAAACATGTTATCAAACTTACTACTCGTCGATATTCGTTTATTTCCTTAAATAATAATATAATATACCGTATAGTACGCGATTCCGTACGCACAATATACCGTATGATTTTAAATGTTGTACTCGGCCTTAGGTGGCTATTTATCAAAGAAAAC